CGAGGGGAATCCTAGTGACGATCCAGATCCTCTGCCAGCACATCGGCAGGCACTTGGGGAGAGGCTTTACCCTCGGGTACAAGCCATGCAACCAGTAAGTACTATGTGCTTAATTAGCTTTGGTGTTTTAGTTTTGAATTGAAGTTACTATTTAAAAAGAAGGACAAAAGGTTGTCAGCTACTCACAGGCCACATGGTTGAGGACTGTGTCTAGGCCTGCAGTACATAGGCAGCTTAGAGGCAGAGAAGTTAAGGCAAACTGGGGTTGATTTAGCTTGGTACCACAACCTCTACCCTAGGTTGGTATCTGTCTCCACATAGCAAGCTTCTAGTGTGCCTTATCTCCACATTATATTTCTTTATATAAATTAATTTTACTATTGAGGCTGTCTTTTGCTTGTTACTTAACTGTAGCTAGCACACATTGCACATATAGTACTTTATTGCGGGTAAGTTTTGCAAGGAAGTATTTTCAGTATACTGTCAAGGGCTTCTTTCATATTAAATAGATGTGACTAGTAGTTTTGTTGCTTTTTAATCTATACATGTGCATATACTATAGCAAGAGATGAATCCTAAAGCAACAAAAACCAATTATTTAAGTAAGTCTTTAGTCTTAAATACAGATACCTTTCCTCTCTGCTATCCTTCTTTTTCTACCTTAAAAGAAAAATGTCTAGGCTGCCTTGATGAAAATACATGAAAATTGATTATTTGTATTTTTACTTACGGATATTAAACACTTTAAAGAGGCCTGTCATAGAAACACAACAACATTCACAGAGCTGCTACTGCATAGACTGTGCATTCTACCAAAGTGCTCCTCTCACTATAATTAAGCAACTACCACCTAAAGAAAATACCACTTCATTTTTTTCGTGTTATCCCAAGTTTCTTACCGCTTTTTTTTCTGATAAAAGACTGTAGACTTCAGAGTAAAAGTAAATAACATTTTATTATTTATAGGCATTTGCAAGTAAAATCACTGGCATGCTATTGGAATTATCCCCAGCACAGCTGCTTCTCCTTCTAGCTAGTGAAGATTCTCTGAGAGCAAGAGTGGATGAAGCCATGGAACTTATTATTGCACACGGAAGGTAATGTGTACAATTAGGAAGATTCTTACAGTTTTAAAATCAGGGACTTGACTTCAAGGATTTTTTTAAAATGATAGCTTAAAAATTTGTAAGTGATGCATTTGAGTTTCACACATATTAGAAAGGTGGAGCGAGTTTCAGAACTTAAGACCTGAAAGGTAGTTTATGTACCTGGTATTTAGAAATTACTTGGAAGTTACCTATTTTACATTTTTTATCTAAGGGGAGAGGTGAGAATGGGTAGGGGTAACATCAAAGAGTTGCACAATTTAGTGGGTGGAGGGTGGAGGTAAAGGAAATGGGAAAGATCTGGTGAGGAAAAGATGGGAGTAATAGTGGGTATAGTCCAGTGGTGCTTAATTTTATAAAGCAGACTATTTGAGAATGATTATATGAAACATGTCAGTGAAGGAAAGTGTGACACACACAAAAAACCCCAGTCCACTATATACATTAGTGATACACAATGTATATGAATAATATATGCATACCAATAAAACTACAAGAAAAACCTCACAGTTCTTTACCTATAATGGGTCCCACTGTAAGACTTCTTGGGATTTAGCCCCTGAGTTCTTGCCATTTTTTATTGCTTCCTGGTTTGTCTTTTAAATATTGTTATGGTTTTGGTTTTTTTGTTTTAATATTTGATATAAAACTTTAAGATATGTAATAAATTAAGAAACTCTGGTAATATAGTATGTAGTATGAGGCTGCTAACCTCAGCTGATTGAATCCACTGGCTGCTTTCTTGAGAATGGACCGTGTCTTCCCATAAAGATTTCCAGCCTGAGCAATCCATTGGAGAATCACTGTTGAGTCAGAACTGGCTCAGAAGCAGTGGGTTTGGGTTTTGGTTTAAATAGTGAAATTACGAATCTTTCTTCCTCTAAATGAAAGGGGGAACTTGCCAGCTTGGTGCAGTGTTCATCACTGTGTTTAGATTCTGCTATTCCAGTGTTATTTTAGAGCTTTGTTTTGTTTTCTCATTTTTTTAAAAAAAAATAATAATTTGATTGAAGGTTTCAACCATGATTTTTGGATGAAGAACTTAAATTAGCTATCATACTAGAGGGAAGGCAGAACATTGGAATTAAATAGCCAGACACCTGTTTCAGAGCATTTGAATAATTCAAACCAAAGCCAGTTGATAGAAGCTTGTTTGCTTGGCTGTTAAACCACTCTGCCTCCTGGACTATTTTTTTGGTCCTGTCTCAGCATAAAGCTCCACCCATTATAGAAAAAGAACATTTATATAAAAGGATTTTTGTAAATATGTGCAAAGGTTGCTTTTACAATAATTTTTCTATTGCATATAACTAAAAACATGTTAGGTTTCAGTTGGCTAAGAGTGAGTATGAATTTAGTGACATTCTATAACCACTGCATACAACACAGAAGTCTATTCCTATTGAGATTCCTCTCTGAACATTCTTCTATTTCCTCTACAGTGATCAGTCATATATTTAGCACTTTATTCCTGGGTTTTTTTGTTTGTTTGTTTGTTTTTTGTTTTTTACACTTCTTTCTAAAGTTCTAACAGTAACCAAATGAGTATTTTTGGTTCTTTATTGTCACAAACTTAAATGCATATATAAATCTAAATTAATATGTTTCTCTACATTAAAAATTCTAGGAATTTCTACCAATAAATATGTATGAAAGTCTTTTGTTTGATTTTAGGGAAAATGGAGCTGACAGTATCTTGGATCTTGGATTGCTAGACTCTTCAGAAAAGGTTCAGGTAAGAGATTTTTTCTGTAAGTGCTAATAATAAGCACTTGGAATTTAAATCTTAAAAATAAAATGAAAAGTAAGATTTATATAGACCCTAAATAAATATTTGTAAGTAAGATTGTAAATAACAGTGCTGTGGACAGAACAAAGCAGCCCCACTCATCTGCTGCCCCTTCTCTCAGGATCACCTGAATTAAGCTTTGCTTCAGAGATGTAATGATACACAGAAGGTTCCTAGAACTGATTCCTAAAGAAAATAGCTACTACCAAAGAAAATGTGACATAACACCATTAAGGAGAACTTTATCAAGGTCAGAGAGAAGCCACAATTGGAAAAATGTGTTTGTCTCAAGTCAGAACTCTAACCAGTTGATGTTAAATCAGAACTGAATCATAGCTGATCCTTCAGTGTAATTTAGAGGCTATAAAAAGCATGAGAGGAGATAGCCCTTTTTTGTCCCATGGATTGGAACCATGAGAGAGTCTTGGTATTTGGGTTAACAGTGGAACTCTATTCTGACCAGGCCTTTTGTTTTAGGTTATTGTTGTGTACTACTGTGTCAGGGACAGTAAAGCGCACAGGAGGAGATTGTCCATCCTTTTCCCACAGAGCAGCCTGGTGTATTTGAACCCTGTGTCTGCAGCACAGTTTCTTACACTAGGCCACTAGAGCTCCCTTTTTAGGTAGGAAGTTAAGTTTGTTGCTACTCATCTGGAAATACTAGTTTCTGCAACTAGAAGATAGCAAAGACCATTATAACTATATTATAAACAAATAAAACCCCTACTCCCCAAGGCTCAAACTCTCTTGATTTTGAGTAGACCCCCAAAGCATAATAAAGACTGAAAATTAACTGCTCACAGAATGTAATCTCCAGCCTACACATAATCAGGTTGATGACTTACTAAAATATAGAAAAATAGCATTTTAGTAGAAACCCAGAATTTCACAATTTAAGATTAGGATGTCCAAGATAAAATTAACAATTTCTCAGCATGCCAAAAAAAACTCCCAAACAAACCCAAAAAACGAAACCAAAAAGACCAACAAAACCCACCCAAAATACCAGCCAGTAACACCTGACTAGTTCTCAAGGGAAAAGAACCAACTCTGATCCAGTTGTTCAATCAGTTCTGAGTCATTTCAACCCAATATATGCAGAGTAGAACTGTACTCTGTAGAGTTTTCATGGCTCTGTGACCTTTTCGAAGCTGATCCACCAGGACTTTTTGTTTGTAGCTGAATGCCTACCTTTTTTATGCCACTTGAAGATTCCTGGTATTGTAAAAGACAGTTCAAGCCTGCTTCCTGCTATATAGAAATAAAGACAAACCTGCTAATGAGTAGAGGAAAAAATTCTCCATTTAAACATATTTTTTTTAAAAGTGAAAAGTTTACAATTAAAAGTACAGTAGCCAAAAGGCCAAATAGGCTGCATAAATACAGAATGAAGGTGACGGGAAAAGTCACTTAACTTGAAAACATATCTACAGAAATTGTGCGGTCTGAACCAAGAGAGAGGTTTCAGACCATAAGATAATTTTATTGTGCTTTCCAGAAGAAAAAGAGAAGAGACTAGTAAAAAAAAAAAACAAAAAAAAAACCAAAACAATTGCATTAATAGTTGAAAGCTTTAGAGATTTGTGAAAGCTCTGAAGGTACAGATTTATAAAGTCCTAGCACATCATAATCAAATGAAAGGAAAATTCTGGAAAGCAGTCAGAAAAGAACAGCATATTACATTACTTACAGAGAAAGAGATACAGTGAATATTTTGAGATAAAAAATGACCAAAGCTGAGAGACAATATTTTAAGTTACTTGTCAAGCCTGAAATCTATATTCAGTAAAAATAGTTTTCTGGAATGATAATCAAAGAAGAAACTTGAGCCTCATTAAGGAATTTTAAATGACTAGAGACGATTGTGTATCTCAGACCTAAAAGGAGGAATTAAAGATTTATTTACCTATAGTGTTACACATTTAAATACAACCTTCCTCTGTCTGATTTCATTTTAGCTGATATAGAAAACTTGATAAAAATGTTTTGTTGTCTAAATAAATCTAAGGAGAAGTTAACTTCTGCTGTTCTTTGCTGTTAGGAAAACCGAAAACGTCATGGTTCTAGTCGAAGTGTAGTGGATATGGATTTAGATGACACAGATGATGGTGATGATAATGCACCTTTGTTTTATCAACCTGGAAAAAGAGGATTTTATACTCCGCGGCCTGGCAAAAATACAGAAGCAAGGCTGAATTGTTTCAAAAATATTGGGAGGTAAGAGAATTATAATCTTATATTCCTGTATTTTGAAAATCTGTTTATGAGACTGTATAGAAGGCATAGTTTATAAAATATGCATCTTCTCTACGTCAGAGTGAATTGAGACTGCAGAAATTTACTCAAAAAATAAATGCATTTTGTGTATGTGGAGTATATGTGGTCTAGAACTATTTTTAAATTTAAATTTAACTCTTATTTACTTGTTTTTATTTTTAGAATTCTTGGACTTTGTCTGTTACAGAATGAACTATGTCCTATCACATTGAATAGACATGTAATTAAAGTGTTGCTTGGTAGAAAAGTAAGTGATTTTGATGAACCTGATTGCTTTTACAATTACTAAAACATTCTTTTATAAAATAATCATATGCTAGCATACCATTCATGGCATTTACTTAATATTAAATTTTAAAGCATTATAGTCATTATAAATTATTTTCAAACATTTAGTGATATAGGACAAGTCTCCATGTACAGGGGAGATGACATAACAGTGATACAAGTGAGTGCAGGAGTCTGAAATACCTGGATCCTGTTGCAGACAAATCCTCTGACATAGTTATTCATCTGTAAAATGGAAAAGAAAACACAATTGGTCTTGACTCAATAAAAAGATCATTCCCAACCTCAAACATAATGTAAAATGTATGTGGGAGATAAAAGAATGTAAGAAAATACATCATAGTATGTTTGAGATGTATCTAAAGGTAATAGAATTATAGGTTATTTTATTTGTGTTTTGATATTTTAACAACCTGCATATTCCTTTATGCATTTAGGGTGGGAAACCACTTACTTTCAATTAATGTGTGATAAAAATTAAGCCTCTTGTTTGCACAAGAAAATCTGAAATAAAATTGCAGTGTTTCTAAAGTTGTTAATAAGAAATTAATTATACCAAAGTGAAATACTATAGTTTTCTCCAGTGATATACATCTAATATGAATTAGTATTTTCAAATACTTAGTTTTCTAATAGTTTTCTGTAATCAGACTCACTGATTGATGAATGTGGTTTTTTATTATTATAAGCATATCCTGTTACGGCATGTCAAGGTAAAGATACACAGATGATAAAATTTTACCTCTGCACTTACTGCATCTTATATCATGGTGCTCCCAAAGAGATAGAAAGTGTTCGAGCTAGAGTACTACTGTGAAAAAAATAACTGGCGTGAAATCCCAGCACCGCAGAAAGTCTGATCATATCGACTGTTTTATAAAGTTTAGTGAAAAGATCATGGAATTGAATGGATCCAGGTTTACTCTTAATGTTACAACCTTGGGAAACTTATTGAATTCCTTTGTGTTTCAGTGTAATCATCTGGAATGAATAATAATTTATGATTATTATCACGATTAATATTGCTTTAAAAATTTTGTGCTGTTAGATTTATTAATATGTATATTTATTTATAAACGAAAGTGTATATATATACATATTTCCTACTCCTCATTTATCAACATAGGCTATAAAGGCCAGGTTATTTGCTAAAATTGGTGGTATGCAAAAATGAAGGATGACTTTGTCATTACCTAATGGACAAATCTTTGAGAGTCATGGTTCAGCCCAGATGACACATAATTTGAATCATCTAAGCCAGAGTTTCTCTTATAACACACCCTAGCATTCATTACTGCCACAAGTAATTCATTAATACTCAAAATATACAATATATTTTTCTTCTACTGTTGTCTTAAGTGCAAATTGTTAGATAATTGATGAGTAGGTGTATTTAATATATATATGATACTTAACACTTTGAAAATTTATTGTCAGAATCAACAAAGAGATATATTTTACCTCTTCAAAGCATTTATTTATTAAACACATAAAATGAGATTGTTTCATTATTATCTTCTAATTAGATAAAGATTTTCTTTATTGTAAATTATTATTTTCTAACAAATTCATTGAACATCTTGTTATTTCTTTCATAAATTGAATTTCACATGATTACTTTTTTAGGTCAATTGGCATGATTTTGCTTTTTTTGACCCTGTAATGTATGAAAGTTTGCGGCAACTCATCCTCGCTTCTCAGAGCTCAGATGCGGATGCTGTTTTCTCAGCAATGGACTTGGCATTTGCAATAGACTTGTGTAAAGAAGAGGGTGGAGGACAGGTAAAGCAAATACTCGGGTTTTAAAAAAAATTTTTTTTTTTACACTTCTGAAGAACTTGGTTACTCTGTTAAGCTTGTGTAGGAGCAAGAAACAAAGGGAAGGGAGCTCTGGTGGCCTAGTGGCAAGAAGCTGCACTACAAGCCCAGAAGTATGTGGTTCAAATCTGCCAGATGCTCTGCTGGAGAAGGAGGGGCAATCTCCTGGACCAGTCAGATCCAATTTGACAGTACACGCACAAAATAATAAAATAAAAAGGAAAAAAAAAATTTATAAAGAAAGAAAGAAATGGAAACAGTATAGAAAGAAACACAAGGAGTCAAAACAGCAAGATGGGCAGATCTAGAAAGAGATGGACTAAGAGAAGCTGAGAAGTAGAAGGGAGTGTTGTGTTTATTTAGGTCTAAACTATTTCCATCTATTAGATATTTGTTAAGAATAGATTTTTCATTGGATTTAAAATTTTTTTTGGAAATTGTATGAATTGTAAATTTATTACTGTTTGACATGATTTGCATTTGTCATTTGTTATATTTTTTGTCATTGTTATATTTTTTGTAGGTTGAACTCATCCCCAATGGTGTAAATATACCTGTCACTCCCCAGAACGTGTATGAATATGTACGGAAATATGCAGAGCACAGAATGTTGGTAGTTGCAGAGCAGCCATTACATGTAAGTGTTTTCTAGCCAGTATTACTGCCTTGAGGATGCTATTCATGTCTTAGTGTCTGGTGAACTACCTCAAGAGTACATTTAGCTTGCCTGTAGAAGGCCAGGACTTTTAAGCCACATGAATTTATTCACCATGTAAATGACACTTGAATTAGAACCTAAACCAAGTATCCACTTTGTTCTGGGTAGAACAACTTTGGGAAATTCTAGTAATTGTCAAGAGAATGAATTAGTAAAAAAAGTTTGGGAAGAAAGCTTATGAAATTGAAATAACTACTGGTTTAGGGTCTTGTAATCATCCAGATTTCCACTAATCCCCTGGAAAGACTGACTCAAAGGCAGTTAGAATGGTCTGTTTCAACAGAAAGCAGTATTCACAATAGAGGCAGCATATTGTGGTTTGTTTCAGCACATGAAAGACCAGCAAGGGGAAAAAAAAGATCCATCATGGGATTTGGTGGCCTCTACCTGCAGGCTTCTAGAGTTGTTCTAGGGGAATGAGATGTCACACAGAATATACATCTTTCTCCAGCAATAAAATGCAGCAGTATATGTACAATGTTTGTGTTCAGGGAAGCTTTTTTTGCAGGTCGGCTTTCTATATAGATTATATCTCAGCATCAGGAAAACAAAAATCCTCATCATTGGAACCATAGGCAACATCTTAGTAGGTGGAGAAAAGATTGAAGTCAGCAGTTTGTTCTGACTTATCAACACCCATCCTAACAGCAGTCAAGGAATCAAAAGATGTGTTACACTGGGAAAATCTGCTGTCAGTAACCTCTCCAAAGGGCTAAAGAGCAAGATACCAGTTTAAAGACTAAGGTATGCGTCATCCAGGCAAGCTGTGATATTTTCATTTGCTTCCTATGCATCTGAAAGTTGGACAGTGACTATGATGACTGAAGACGATTCCATGTTTCTGAATTATGGTATCAGAGAAAAGTACAGACTATGGCAGGCACGGCATGAAGAACAAACAAAGCTGTCTTGGAAGAAGTGCAGCCACGTTATTCCTTAGAGGTGAGGATGGTGAATGTTCGTCTCATCTACTTTGGCCATGTCAGGATATCTTGGAAAAAGACATCATGCTGGGAAAGTTAATGAAAGAGAGGAAGAAGACTGATGACAACATGGATTGGTACAATGAGTGTAACAGTGAGCTTAGGTATGGTGGAAATCTTGAGAACGGTACAGGAGAGGCAAGCTTCAGATCTATTATTTGTAGTGTCCCTATGAGTTGTAATCGACTCAGCAGCACCTGCGAAAAATTTGAGAGGCAGAAGCCAGGGTTTTAAAGTGTTCTATTAATGATTATACACATTTGATTATGTGGATTATAACATGATCACAAACATTGAGAAGAGTAAGAACTCAGAACATGTAATTTTGCTCTTGTGAAACCTATACATAGACTAAGAAGCAGTTGTCTGAACAGAACAAGGCATGGTTTAAAATTGGGAAAGGTGTGCATCAAGGTTGTCTCCTTTCTCCGTATCTACTCAGTCTATATGCTGAATAAATAATATGAGAAGCTGGACTATGTGAGCTGGACTCTGTGGCATCAGGTTTGGAGGAAGGCTGACTGGTCAGCAACCTGCTTATGCAGAGAACACAACCTTGCTTGCAGAAAGTGAAGGTAAACTGAATCATTTACTGAAGAAAATTAAAGATTGCAGCCTTCAATATGGGTTACATCTCAACATCAAGAAAACAACCTCAGGGAGCTCTGGTGTCAAGAAGCTGCATTGCAATCCCAGGGATATGTGGTTCGAATCCACGGGATCTGATTTGACTGTACATGCACAAAAAAATAATTAAAAATAAATAAAAGGGAAGAAAACAACCTTACCATTTGACCGATAGGCAACATCATGATAGTTGGAGAAAAGATCGACATTAAGGTTTGCATTTTACTTGTAGCCACAATCAACACCCACGATAGCAGCAGTCAAATCAAAGGACATGTTGTGTTGGGAAAATGTGTTGTCACTGACCTCTCCAGAATGCTAAAGAGCAAGGATATCATTTTAAGGACTAAGGTGCACCTCATTTAAACCATAGTATTTTCTGTTCCTTACTGTGCATTTGAAAGTTAGGCAAAAAAAAAACCAAAAACAAAACAAAAACCAAAAAACCAACAACAAACAAAAAAACTAAAACAAACTGAAGAATCAGTGCTTTTTAAATTGTCCTGGCCAAGCATATTGAATATACCATGAACTGTCAAAAGGACAAGCAAATCTGGCTCAGAGAAAGTAGAACTTGAATGCTCTTTAAAGGCAAAGTAGTGAAACTTTGTCTCAGTCATTTTGGGCATATTTTTGGAAAGAACCAGTTTCTAGAGACATCATGCTGGGAGATAGAGCATAAGTGAAAGAGAGGAATATCCCCACTGAGATGGATTGCTGTAGTGATTACCAGAGTGGGCTTGAGCATGGCAGAGATTGTGATGATGGTGGAATATCTGTTGTTCTTAGAGTTGCTGTGAGTCTTGATGGCACCTAAAAACATCATCAGAAACAACATTGTTTACGCCATAGGTGTAGGTAGGGTAGATATATCAAGATTCACCGCCCTGCGTATTCTAGTAAGTCTTTTAAATCACTTCCCAGATGCTAGCTAGTCTCCTTATTAGGTCCTTCTAAAGAGCATCATTAGGGAGCTCACTCAGGTGGCTTCATAGTAAGGAATTATGTCGGCAACCCAAAGTTACATGATTTGAATCCATCACCTGCTCAGTGGCAGAAAGATTCTCCTCCCATGCATTTCAGTTGCCTTTGAAAACCTGCTGGAGAGTCAGCTATGGGCTGATTCTGACTTGACAGCTGAAATTAAGAGCAGCAAGGATGGCATATTATCAGTAATCCAAAAAGCATCATTAAAACTATTATGTTAACTCTTTCCCTTCCAAGATAATATATTTAGTTAGGTAGGGTCAGGGCACACTGCATTTGGTAAATCTTATTAAAGTATTAAAGACAAAGAAGTAATTTTGAAGACTAAGGTGTGCCTGACGCAAGCTTGTGGTCTTTTCAATTGCCTCACTCTCTGTGGAAGCAGATAATGAATATTGAAGCATTGATGCCTTTGAATTATGGTGTTGGTAAAGAATTCTGAATACCATGGACTTCCAGGATCTATCTGGGAGGAACTGCACCCAAATTCTCCTTGGAAGAAGGATGTTGAGATTTTATTCCACATCCTGTGGATATGTTATCAGGAAAGGCCAGTCCCTGGAAGACTTAATGTTTGCTCTAAAGTAAAATAAGAAAATTATGATCTTCAAAGATAAGGATTGACACACACAGTGGCTGCAGTACTGAGCTTAACCTCAGTAGGGACTCTGATCTGAGGGTGATGGAGAACCAGACAGCATTTTATACTCGTGTGGAGGGTTGCTGGGAATTGGATCAACTCAACAGCTCACTTAAGGCCTGACGTTTCAAATGTTCCCAGTTCTTATGTTGGGGCTAACTGTGGTTCGACCACCTACCAGCTGTATGATGTTAGCACATTTTGTGATTTCTTTGTGCCTTAGTTCCTTCCTCTGTAAAATGAGGCATAAGATTAAATGAATTAACACATGTAAAGTACAGATGATAATTTCTCAGTAAGATTCTACACATTTAGCTTGTGTTTGGCAGGAGTTTGTTGTTGGCATTGAAATAACTTTTATAATTGTGTTAATAATAGACTCTGAAAAATATAATTGCCAAAATTGTTAAATTAATTAATTACTGATACATATTTCTCACTTTGAGCATCTAGTCCATTCATTGTACTTTTTCTTGATCTGCTTTTCCTCTTTTAAATCTGTTAATAAGAAAGTCAGGGTGCAGGGTTTAGTATTTTCTCATTTAAAGGGTGATTTTAAATGGGAATTAAAAATCTTTAAAAAGGCTGCTCGATAAGACAGTGGGTTTTAACACTAATACTATGTGGAAAAGAAAGAACTATTAGAAAGTGGCTAATTACTTATTTCTATTCTTTAGGCAATGAGAAAAGGTCTGCTGGATGTACTTCCAAAGAATTCATTAGAAGATTTAACAGCAGAAGATTTTAGGCTTTTGGTAAATGGCTGTGGTGAAGTTAATGTGCAAATGCTGATCAGTTTCACTTCTTTCAATGATGAATCTGGTATGAGAGTTTTTAAAATGTTTGCTTATAATAAGTAATAGTAGAAACAGTTTGGTCAATTAGTATTTCAAATTCCTTGTTCTGAGATAAATATAGTGTTTGGAAATGCTGTTACTCAGGTATTTCTTTAAATTTTTTTTTTTCTTTCTCATTGGCTTTTTAAGAAATGAGTGAATTCTATTTTGATTGCTAGGTTGTCCTTATTTATTTATTTATTTATTCCTTAATTTTCATAGGTCTTGAAGAATATGTTTTACTAAACATAGAATTAGAAATGATTTGTGGTGAGCAATAAATAAGTAAAGAGGATTTTTATTTGGAGAATAAGAAAATATCCATGCAGTAGTTCTACTGGTGTTTCCTGATTCATGTCTCTTAAAATCCCTAATTTCAAAATTTACATGATGTTTGCTTTGTAGAGCTAGACCCCAAACAAGCTTATAAAGACACACCAGCACCCACACAGATGGAAAATCTAGGGAGAATAAAGAGAGGTAGCGATAATCCTCCTAGACTAGCCTTTATCTTCAGTGCTTCATTTACTGCAAGTAGACAAAGAATTTGTAGCTTTGACTATGCAATACTATGTTGGATGCTTAATGCAGCTCATTATGAAAGGATTTATACCTATCTGTAGTGCAAGATTATTTCATATAGGAATATAACAGTTGTTTTTTCCTACTTTGTAAGTAGTTCCAGGTAAAATTAAATTTAGGTAGATTTTTTTATGTATTTCTTTCATTCATGGTAATATAGGTGATTGTATTAAAACTTTTGTGTAATTCTTAAAAGAAGAATTCTCAGTACTTGTGGGAACAGATAGTATAGTTACAATCCAGAAATCCAGAGGATAGGGAGGGAATATTTCAAGAAATTACTGAAGAGTTTTCCATCCCACGTAAGACTTTCAGATCAACAGGATCAGTATTATCTGGGAGAACTTTAGAAATACAGACTCTGTAAATTTACTTTAGACTTAGTAAAAATAAGGAAAATCTGTATTTCTAAAAGATTCCAAATTGATGTATAAGCTTATTAAAATTGGAGAAGCACCGATTTACAATTATGAGAATAAGAATCATCATTTATGATTGATAATAAATGGTAATAAACTGATGATTATCCAGTTAATAATCTGAAGCTAGATTTAATTTCTTATTTTGAGGCTAGACTAATTTCTTATTTGGTCATCATGGCTCAGATTGACTAATGAATTACTGATTTTGAATCATGAAAACTGACCTAATCTTTCATTAGAAATTGGAAGCCTTCCCCTCTCCCACTAATCCCAAATGTCATTTTAATTTTGTATCTGCTGGTTAAGACAGGAATAAGCAATTAATAGAGTAAGTTTACAGCAGATGCCATTTATATTCTTAAAATATAACAACTGACACAGTATGGAATCTGTATCCTTTATTTTTAGGAGAAAATGCTGAGAAGCTCTTGCAGTTCAAACGCTGGTTCTGGTCAATAGTGGAGAAGATGAGCATGACAGAAAGACAGGACCTTGTAAGTCCAAAATTTCACAAAATTTGTTGAATAGACAATTTTTTTTTAAATAGACAATTTTTTTTTTAAATTTTATTTTATTATTTTTGTGTATGTGTGTACCATCAAATTGGATCTGACAGGTACAGGAGGAGGTTGTCCCTCCTTCCCCGGCAGAGTATCTGGTGGATTCGAACCGTTCGCCTCTGGGATTGCAGTACAGCTTCTTGCCACTAGGCCACCAGAGCTCCCCCTAAATAGACAATTTTTAAAATGTATGTTTGGCTTCTCTTTTTTTAGTTTCTAGTGGTGGGTTATGCTAATTTGGGGTAGGAAAATTACAGAATCTAAGAAACTAGTCAGTTTTTCTGCTCTGTGCGGAAAAGCTCTAAATGGAGTGCAAAATACAATACATTTTTGCTATTAATATTCTATCTTTAATTAAAAAAGATAAAACAGACTTCTTGTTGAAACACTTACTCCCTTCATGTGCGCTTCCTGTTTTTTGTATGCTTCCTTATCTCACGGTTTCCTCTTAGGAGTAAAGCACTTCATTAGTCAGTTTGCTGTGTTTGGGTGGTGAATGGTGTGTTGCTGCTTGTTTTATAGTTGTGTATGTGTATCATTGCTTATTTATAATTTGCACTTGTCTTCAGTTTGCTGTACTGGAGTGGCTTGCATGTGCTGTGATGCTGGAAACTATGCCATTGGTATTTCAAGTATCAGCAGAGTCACTGATGGTGGATGAGGTTTAGTAGAGCTGACAGACTTAAGCAAGAAGCAGAATTGGTCATCTAGCTCTGAAATAATAGGCCTTTGAAAACCATATAAAGAATAGAAGATTGTTAGGTATAGTACTTAAAGTAGAACCTCTGAGGTTGGAAGACTATAGAATATACAAAATACGAATCTGGGGAAACTGAATGTTGTCAGAAATGAAATGGACCACATAAAGATGCATCCCAGGCAGTAAGTAGTAAACTGAGACGGGTTGGTCTTGGCCACTTTGAATTAGATGATCATCATGATCTGTTATGCAAAGAATTGCAAATTCAAGAAGAATTCAAGATCTGTCCTGAAGAATAGCGTGTATATCCATGTGCGTACAAGGAAGACCTGTTAATACAACTATCCAAATACATTTAACAACCACTAAAGACAAACACTGAAGAAATTTAAGATTTCTACCAACTTTTGCAGTCTGCAGTTGATTGACCATGTAACCAACATCTATTAATAATAATTGGCAACAGGAATACAAAAGTTAGAAACAAAGTAGTAGTAACTGGTAGTGGGAAGATAAGGACTTGGTGACAGAAATGAGACTGGAGGGCAAATGATAGCATTTTGTACAGTGGATTAAACACTGCAAATAACTTTTTAAGAAAAGTTGGACTGTGAGTCATCAGATGCACTACAAAGAAATTGAGTAAATCTATGGAAAGACTCAATAGAAAAGTTCAGTATCTATAGTCAAAACAAGTCTGGGGCTCAGGCTAACTGTGGAATATACCACCAGTTGCTCATGTGCAAGTTCAAATTGAAATGGAAGAAAATGAAAATAAGTACATGAGAACCAAAATAAGACTTTAAGTCTGTCGCACCTAATTTAAATATAATTTCAATAGATGTGATGGATTAAACACTAATGACTTAGAGGCAAGGATGCTGAAACTTCATTTCACATTCTTTGGGCATGTTGTCAGGAAGGAACAATTCTTGGAAAAACACATCATGGTGGGAAACATGAAGGGTCAGAGAGAAAGAGAGGAAGTCTCTCAAGATAGACTGAAATCGTGACGCGTGAGGGACTTGAGCATATTGGAGATCATGGTATGGTACAGGAAAGTGCAAAGTTCAGTTCTGTTGTTCATAGGATTGCTATTATAATTGATTCAGGGCCGGTAACACAGTACTCACTTCTGTTACTCCTTGTTCACATTTCATAACGTTTTAGGGAGTAAGAAGGCTGCGAATTTCTTAGTAGTATCTGTATATTAGAGAGTAGCTTAATTGTGATGTGTGTATATGAAATCCATTTTAATCTTTTTATTAGCACAGAGCTCTGTCTTCAGTCATATGTTAGATAAATATAAATTTATGGAAGTCAGTAGAATTTTTGTCCAGGGTTGATTATACCCATATAGCTTAACTTCTGTAAATCTTGAAAGGCATTCTCAAGCAGATTTTGCTTTGAACATTGAGTAGCAATTCTCCAGAGATCTTTTCTATCTATAGTTTTCTGGGACATTTTCTGTCCAACCAGCCTTAATTGTAAGAGGTCCTGAGAAATAGTGATATTTTTTTGCATGTCTATTTTTTTTAAATCACCTGATCCTGAACATACTCCCCTTTTAGTATGAGAAAATACTAAGTTTAAAATAATCTCATTGTAGAGTTGAGTCCAAGAATTGGGCTTTGTGAACAAATTATCAGACGAAAAAGAGGAAAATATTAAAGTTGAAATTCTGACTGTTGATTGTATTCCTATTTAGGTTTATTTTTGGACATCAAGCCCATCACTACCAGCTAGCGAAGAAGGATTTCAGCCTATGCCCTCCATCACAATAAGGCCACCAGATGACCAACA